TATGTTGGTTCTATGTATCCCAATACAAAGGATTGCAATACTAATACAGGCGTACCTTGGTTTACCAACGCCTCGGTTAACGTAATTTTCAGTTTACGAATGAAAATCCATTGAAAATAATGGCTCAGTTTACAAATTTTTTAATATTTTTTTTTGCAATACAAAATGTATGTCGGTGCTGATTTTTAAATGCAAACACCAGCCTTTTTTTTTCTTCACAATAGTTCAAAAGCTTAGCTGTCACTTTCCCCGGAGTTACAGGAAACTTTGTTTCTTTTAATAAACTAAAAGTAAATATTGTTTTCTTTAGGGAAAAAAACTGAAAGAAAACTTTCTCTTTTAGCTGGGGGAAAGTGACAGCTGAATTTCTGAGCCATGGTGAAAAAAAAAGCGAGAATTACATTAAAAAACCAGCACCATAATAAATAAAAAAAAGGAGAGTGACATCATCCGGGTGACCTAGTGATCATTGATGTCACATGGGGTGGGGTCACATGCATGTTGTCCCTAGGTGGCCCCACCCCTTACATATTTAAGAGATATCAACCCGCCTTGGAGCAGAGGGCTGGCAGCCATCGTCGGGAACGGAACTTTTTTTTTTTTCTTTTTTCGGGTCGGCGGCGGTTTACATCATGATTGATGTTGGATCTACTTCAGGGGACATTCTTTTAGATTTTTCTTTTAATAAAAGACTTGTCAAAGACCTTGTCCTGTCTTTTTTTACACTACACTTTTTGTTTTTTGTGAATAAGTAGCGGTACCATGTACCCCATACTCATTCACGTGGGGGGGCGGGATCTGGGGGCTGCCTTGTTAAAGGGGGATTCCAGATTCCGGTAAGACCCCCTCCCTCAGACCCCTACAACCACTGGCCAGGGTTATGGGGAAAAGGGCCTTGTCCCCATCAACATGGGTACAAGGTGCTTTGGGGGGGAGCCTCCCTGCCCCAAAACACCCCCCCATGTTGAGGGTTTGTGGCCTGGTATGGTTCAGGAGGGGGGGGCACTCTCACTCATCCCCCCTCTTTCCTGACCTGCCAGGCTGCATGCTCAGATAAAGGTCTGGTATGGATTTGATGGGGACCCCACACCATTTTTTTTTATATTTTGCCGTGGGTCTTCCTATAAAGATCCATACCAGACCCGAAGGGCTTGGTATGGATGGGAGGGGGGACCCCACACCATTTTTTAATTGCCGACCTTTACTTCTAGAGTCAGCTGTCAAAATATATATTATCTAGATCTTCGAAATATGTAAAACTGTCAGGAAAGGGCTCACTGCTGGTGGTGCTGTGGCTCACCTGCTCTATGGGCTGCAATACTGGGACTTACCAGCAGGTGCCTTTCAGCAGCCAGGATCTCACCTCCTGCAATCAAGCCATCACCTGAGGCTGATTGCAGGAGGTGTACTTAAACAGTAACCAGGCCTGCAATCAGTACCTTGGTGTTTGTTCCCATGAGCCTCTGTTATCCTGTTTCCCTGAACCTGTTACCTGCTACCTGTGATCCGATCTGTGTTCTGTCTTCCTATCTGCTTCCCATGTTTGATCTCCTATGTATGACCCCGGCTAGCCTGACTACGCTTGATTGCTGTACATGTATATACTGGGTGAAGGTTTTTGGTTATTTGGGTTTTGTTTGCGCTGTACGTTTTTGTATACTGGTGTAGCTCACAATAAATTCTATTATCCACATCACTCCTGAAGCCTGATATTCCCTGTGTCAGTCCACACATCTCTGGTCATATCCGGATTACTGAAATAATTAAAGGATAAGAAACAAAAACAGAATCAATAGAACTAAGGAAATCAAATTAGAATACATAAAGATATGCCTAGCTACAAATAGTGCTGTTTGTTAAACACAGTAAATGCGATTGATTGCCGACTTGCACACAGGGATTTACTATTAAACAGCGTCTAAAAAGAAAGCACCCACAGCAGATGGCTAAATTGTGTCCTGCACATGCTCATTTCTATCACTGCATAGACGTTGGAAAAGCGTCTAGTTCTTGACTGTCATGAATTCCCTTAAAAAACTATTTTGTAACCATTGAAAAAAATTTTTGAAATGTAATATTATAGTTTAAAGTGAAGTCCAGATATTTGGAAAAGCAAATTTCAATGTGAACATGTTTCTGCAGTGATTTTTCATTCTGTTACATGTGCTTCTAGGACGTCTGCTTTCTTAGACTGATTCCTGGATTGTGCCTAGTTAGTAAATTCGCTTTCAAGTCTACTTGTTAGACTTCTTTCTTTAGTAAATGTCTTTGCCGTCTAAAAGTAGAGGGACTCTGATGAAAAGTAGACTTTATCCCACGGAAATGTGTCTATGCACATTAGTAAATCAGGGCCATAATGTCTTTCATTATTTAATTATTCTCATAAACTTTCAAACATCAATGAATGTCTCAAATTTGTTCAAATTTCAAGTCGGGGACAACTTCAAAACCGTATTTAAAGTGTTCAGTTAATTCAACCCTGCTGAGATTAAATATACCTCACAATCTATTGCTTTGTTTTCTTTGTACATTTTCCTTCTCCCTCCCCTGCATTTTATTTATTTTTTTCATTTTTTGTTTTGCTGCAGAATGGGGAATACTACCCATACCCTGTATACGTCAATGAAGATTTCTTGAGCATGTGGAGCATGCCCGGTGTCTGTAACTGGTTAATATTTCAAGAGTAAAAGCAAAAGATAAATTATTTTCAGCAGTACTACAACAATGTAAGCAATAGTTTTTGGTCAGAATTGCCTTATACCTGTATGTTATTTGTATTGTTTATCCTACATACAGACATTGGCAAACAGGGTGCTGGAGGCGGTCTGTAGTTTATGTAGTTTAAAGCAGAAATGCTTGTTGTCAGATGCAATCTGATAATCCTCAATATATCACCCTAGGATTCAACATATCCATTCAGTAGATAGTAATAACTTTGTGTTCTTACTAGAACTCTGCTGTTATTATTGACACAGAGTTGTATTTGGAGCTGTAAATGAACCCTAGTCAGTGGCTTCCTGAGATAAGCAGTCACTTGTTGCTTAACAGTGTATTCAGGATGACACATATCAACAGGACTACCTATCTTTCTCAAAGGCAATTGGCAGTCCACTACTGCTTATATAAACATGGTTAGTCCAAGCTTATGGAATTGCACATATACTTCTTCAGTTCCAGCAAATGGGGAATTTATAGCCAATATCTGATTAAAAGGAACATCAATTATTCTCGCCATGTGGAAGAGATTCATAAATGTATTTTTTATCTGGAAGATAACCCATCAAAACTTAAGAATTTTATTGAATTAGTGAAATAAAAATCTTAAAGGAGTAATAATATCACATGTAACATAAAGTCTTAATTATGAGTGCAATTAATAAAGTGCAATTCCTAACTAATTTTAATTCTGCTCCCACCCTCTTCTAACACTTATACTAACTACCTTGTAGAAGAAATATGTAATGTATATACTTACCCATTCTCAGGCCACTCCAGTCTGGTCATGTGATCTCCCCTGTGCTAGACAGCTCTTGCTACAGGAGAGAGCGCCGGAATGCCTGAGTGGTGATGTCACACATAGGCTTAGTATGGGCTATTCATTGTTGGCGCTCCTTCCTCTTCCCTGAAGCCCCTGCTATGTATATGTAGCTGACAGATCACGTGACCAAACTGGAGCAGTTTGAAAATAGGTAAGTATATCCATATTTCTTCCACAGGGTAGACAGTATAGGTCTTAGAGTGTGTGTTGGTGGAGGGGGGGGGGGGGTAATGCCTTTTTTGGCTTGTTATACCAGCAATCATGGGGGTTATACATCAACTTCCTGCTGATTGCAAAAGTGAAAGAACACATCTCTGGGGGCAATTTAGATGTGTATGTTCAGAAAAGGAGCTGCAGTCTACCCATCAGTTTTTGTATTACATTTTCAGATCTGCTTCTGGAATAATATTTAAGCAACTGATCAGCACAGCACAGCTTAAACTAGAACTATAGGCAAACATTTTTGTTTTAATTTTGGATAGAGTTATAACCCCCTTAAGATTTGTTTTTGCCATTTGTGACCCATTGGGGAGATTTGCATTCACCTGCTGACTCATAGCCAAAACAAGACGTGAGAGATAACCCTGCAAATTAAGGGAATCTCTTGGGCCCCCCAGGTCACTTTAAATAGGCATAAGCAAAGTAAGATACAGATTGGGATCTCTGGAATATATGTGAATGTATTTATGGGGACTAAATGTACAACATATTTTAAAGAAACAGTATGAAACAGTTGACAATTGAAACTAGAATGCATATATGTAATTTGTGTTACTTACTGTATGTTATGCTTTCATTTGAAATTTACCCCTTCGCTGAACCATTTGTACATACTGTATATTTATTGATAAGAATTATATTTGCAATAAAACTTTTAGGAAACCTGTAGGCTAACAGTTTTATTTTGAACACAAGCTGTCAGCTATTTTGATGGTTATTGACTATAGCCAGGAGCCAAATTTAAGATTGAAAAGAAATTGTACTAATGAGATCATGCAGCTAATGATCTAACCAAGCAGTTAACAGAAAAGGGACAAAAAGCTGAATTTTTATCCAGGTGTGCTGGATTTGTGAATTGAGCTTATTATATTTTATACCTTGACCATTTTTAAATTCCTTTGGAATTGTTTTGGAGTGGACAAGGTAAAGGGAATATCACGTCTTTAGTAATCCGCTCAATAATAGCTTGTTTTCAATGTGGACATGAATAATTTTGTACTTTTGCATGAAGTAATGTATTTTAACCACCTCCCGTCCGCCATATAGTAATATGACGGGCGCAAGGTGGTTCTCTCGTTCTGGGAGGATGTCATATGATGTCCTCCCATTCTCACTGCGCATGCGCGGCTCAGGGAGCACGCATCGCGGTGATCAGCGATGCGCTGTATCCCTCGGACACAGCAGATTACCGATCATGGAAAGAGTCGAAGATGTCAGCTCGGTCATGTGATCAGCTGTGTCCAATCACACCACATTAGTGTGCCCTGATAATCAGTGTAGCCCCAGCAGTGCCACCTGTCAGTGCCTTGTGTCAGTGCTCATAAGTGCCTTATGTCAGTCCTCATCAGTGCCAGTGCCCATCAGTGCCACATCAGTACCACATATCAGTGCACATCAATGCCACATATCAGTGCCCATCTGAGCTGCCTTTCAGTGTCACCCATCAGTTCCAGTCAGTGCCACCTATCAATGCCAATCAGTGCCGCCTATCAGTGCCAGTCAGTGCTGCCTATCAGTTTGCATCAGTACCACCTAACAGTGCCAGTCAGTACCACCTAACAATGCCAGCCAGTGCCGCCTATCAGTGCCAGTCAGTGCCGCCTATCAGTGCCAGTCAGTGCTGCCTATCAGTGCCATATATCAGTGCCATGTACCAGTGCCTCCTCATCAGTGCCCATCAGTGATGCCTGTCAATGCCCATCAGTGCAGCCTATCAGTGCCCATCAGTGCAGCCTCATTAGAGCACATCAGTGAAGGAGAAAAATCACTTTTTTTCAAAATTTTCAGTGGTTTTTGGTTTGTTTAAGTAAAAATAAAAAACCCAGAGGTGATTAAATACCACCAAAATAAAGCTCTGTCACACAAAATTGATAAAAACTTCATATGGGTACAATGTATGACCGCGCAACTTTCATTCAAAGCGCGACAGTGCTGAAAGCTGGAAATTGGCCTTGGCAGGAAGGGGGTATAAGTGTCCTGTAGGCTAGTGGCTAAAATAGGTGTACTGATCCTGTACATAATGAAAGTGCTAAACAACAAAGTGTAATCTCATTATGGAATATTAGGAACATGAGCCCTGATCCATCAAACTGCAACAGTATTCTAAAAAACACATAAGCCATGCTAAATCGATATAGGATAATATTCACTGTGAGACCTTTTAAGTGTGACTTAAGCACACTTTAGAGTGCCTTAAGTGCTATTTCAGTTTAATGATGCAGGGTCATTTGTTGGAAAAAGATCTACATTATGTCTATCAAGTTTTATCTCAAAAGCCCCATCACATATGCTCAGAAAGCCTAGTAGTACCAAATAAAGCAACGAAAAAAAAATGTAATCATTGCTCAACTTACATTAACAGAGAAAATATTAATTTCCTACCCCACTGACAATATATATATATATATATATATATATATATATATAATCAGTCAATATGTATTCTATACCTAGTGACTAGCTATATTTTTTTACATTTAGTAAGATATTTAACCTCCCCTAAGCAGTGGAGATTATTTCACATTTTTCACCAGCTAGAGAACATATTAATGTTATTCCTATTTCAAGGAATGCTCTAGTTCTGTCTGTATGTATACAGTATATTTATAAAACCCATTTCCAAAAAGGTTGCAACGCTGTGTAAAATCTACATAAAAACAGAGTGCAATGATTTGCAAATCTCATAAATCCATATTTTATTCAAAATAGAAAATAGAAAACATATCAAATGCTTGAAAAATGTGAACGGTGAGCGCAAATAAATTAATAATAATAAAAAGGATGCAGCTGGCACAATGTGGCAAACCCTCTGCTCCTACTATACAGACATATAAGCAAAATGGTGCAGTGCTAAAATCTATGAAACAGTTATAAATGTGTTACCAAACAATACAATGAATAATGTCCAACATATGAATGACAGGGACACAGATACTCCACTGTGATATGTCCCAAAATAGAACTTGACTGGATATTAGTCCCAGACAGTGATGTGATCAAATGGTGAGCAAACAATAATAGTGACTTCTGTGACTTCCGTGTTTCTCTTCCAGCATTATCCACTCACCAGAAGTAAGTAGCAAACCAGTATTGAATGAAATGACTCTTTGAAGCAAATACTGCCCAATTCTTATCTCCAGTCACTGAGCCATCTAAGGGCGGAATCCCTCCAGGAAGGAATGAAGGAATATTCCCAGGAAGAAGAGAAGTAAAATGGTGATGAGGATAACCAGAAGGAGGCTCTTCTATCTCCTCCAGAGGATGGACTTCAGTGTCTTGTATGGAGGTGTGAAGAAGAAGAAGGATGTCTCTGGACCCTGGAAAGGAGTGGAGGAATATTCTCAGGGAGAAGAGAAGTAAAACAGTGAGGAGGATAACCAGAAGGAGGCTCTTCTATCTCCTCAAGAGGATGGACTGTAGTGTCTTGTATGGAGATGTCTCTGGACTTAGCAGAGTCCAGGTACAGCTTTGAAGGCCGAAGGTCAGCTGATCCAGAAATCCGCAGTAAACAAAGAATCTTGCTAGTAGAAAAATATCTTTATTCCCGTTCCAGTGAAAAATATTGGACTCCCCCGCACATCTTCACTGTCAGGGTGACCAGGAATATGAATCTATCCAGCAGGCACACACACACACCGCAGTTTCTTCACAAACTCAGTTCTCCTCCTCCTGGCCTGGTGTCTGTTCTCTGCGGTGATGAAACTGCGGTGTGTGTGCCTGCTGGAGAGATTTACATTCCTGGTCACCCTGAGAGTGAAGATATGTGGGGGAGTCCAACATTTTTCACAGCAAAACTTCTGACAATGGCACGTATTGATGTGCCATCCTGGAGGAGTCGGACTGCCTGTGCAACCTCTGTAGGGTCCAGGTATTGCCTTATGCTACCAGTAGTGATACTGACCCTAGCCAAATGCAAAACTAGTGAAAAACAGTCAGGAAAGATGAATAGGGAAAAAATGTCAGTGGCCTCCACCTGTAAAAACCATTCCTGTTTTGGGGGTTGTCTCAGGGTCTCAGGCCCATCTAGTGCACCTGTTGTTTATTTCATTAACACCAAAGCAGCTGAAACTGATTAACAACCCCCCCCTCTGCTACTTAACCACTTGCCTACCAGGCACTTATACCCCCTTATTTACCAGGCCAATTTTCAGCTTTCAGCGCTGCCGCACTTTGATTGACAATTGCGCGGTCATGCAACATTGTACCCATATGAAATTTTGATCATTTTTTTCTCACAAATAGAGCTTTCTTTTGGTGGTATTTAATCGCCACTGGGTGCTTTACTTTTTGCGCTATAAATAAAAAAAAATGCAAAAAATTTGAAGAAAAAAAAAAAGTTTCTTTGTTTCTATTATAAAATTTTTCAAACAGGTAATTTTTCTCCTTCACTGATGTGCGTTGATGAGGCAGCACTGATGGGCACTGATAGGCAGCACTGATGGGCACTGATAGGCAGCACTAAAGGGCACTGATAGGCAGTACTAATGAGGTGGCACGGATAGGCGGCACTGATAGACAGCACTAATGAGGTGTCACGGATAGGCGGCACTAATATGCAGCACTGATAGGCGGCACTGATAGGTGACACTGATGATGGGTACTGATAGACGGCACTGACTGGCATCACTGCTGGGCACTGACTGGCGCAACCGCTGGGCACTGACTGGCGGCACTGACTGGCAGCACTGCTGGGCTGCACTGGTGGGTGGCACTGGTGGGCAGCACTGGTGGGTGGGCACAGGTGGGTGGCACTGGTGGGCACAGGTGGGTGGGCACAGGTGGGTGGCACTCCTGGGCACAGGTAGGTGGCACTTCTGGGAACAGGTGTGTGACACTGCAGAGTGGCACAGGTGGGTGCACTGCTGGGCACAGGTGGGTGCACTGCTGGGCACAGGTGGGCGGAGCTAGTGGGCGCACTGCTGGGCACAGGTGGGCGGAACTTGCGGGTGGCACTGCTGGGCACCGATCATCAGGGCACTGATCATCAGTGCCCTGATGATCGGTGCCGATCCCCGCTCTGACAACTGCCGGTTCTCGGCAGTACTTTCCTCACGATCTGACAGCGTGAGGAAAGTGCAGCCGAGAACCGGCACTTGCATTTCCCTCTGATCAGCGTGTCATTGGACACCGCTGATCACGTGGTAAAAAGCCGCTGTGATTGGCCTTTTACCACATCACGTGATCAGCTGTGTCCGTAGGACACAGCGATCACAGAGATCGCCGGGTGCGCGCCCCCTGGGGCGCGCAGGAGAGCGCGTTCTGGGAGGACGTCATATGACGTCCACTCAGAACTGGCCGGCCGCAGTGCAGCAGTCATTCGGCTATCTGCGGTCGGCAACTAGTTAACTGACCAGATCAATATCCCAGGAGTTTAATTGACTTGATGCTATACTCTGATTAAAAAGTGTTCTTTTATTTTTTTTAGCAGTGTGTATATATATATATATATATATATATAATTGTATATATACACAACACATGTGGCCATACCCCTTTAGCGCTTCATTTTTATATACTGTATATCTAAAATATATCTCCACATACAAGAGGTCAGGCATACAGTATTTGATAATTAGATAAGCATTCCTTTTTTCTTGCACCTTGCTGATCCTCTGTCCTTACTTCACCTTTATCCAACATGTTTAGCCTAATTAAAAACTATTTTCTTCATATTCATCCACTCCCTCATCATATCATGACTCAACTACTGCAACTCCCTCCTCACTGGCCTGCCTCGCCGCTGGCTATCCCCGCTTCAGTCGATCCTGAATACGGCTGCCAGACTCATTCACCTTTCCAACAGCTCCATTTCTACCACCCCCCTCTGCCAATCCCTCCACTGGCTTCCGATTGCGCAACGGATCAAATTCAAAATCCTAATGCTGACGTACAAAGCTGTCCACCATACTGCCCCGAACTACATCACTGACCTAATATCCAAGTACCGCCCAGCATGCACACTCTGCTCCTCACAAGACCTCCTTCTCTCTAGTTCCCTGGTCTCCTCCTCCCATGCCCGCTTCCAGGACTTCTCCAGGGTGTCACCTATCCTCTGGAACTCCCTGCCCCAACCCATCAGATTATCACCTACTCTCCTCTCCTTTAGGCCCACCCTGAAAACCCACCTCTTCAGGGAAGCCTACCCCACCCCCCTGCTAACTTGCTGACCTCCTCCACTCTTCCTACCACTCCATCCCCCACAGCTATCTCCTCCTGTGCCACCATCCCCTCCCTCCTAGATTGTAAGCTCGAAAGAGCAGGGCCCTCAAGTTTTGCATTGTATTGGTATTGTTCTGTCACATGTTCTGTCCCCCTTTGTAATGTACAGCGCTGAGCGAACTATTGGCGCTTTATAAATACTGTATAATAATAATAATATTCACTCTGGCTGTGTGGATCATGCACAGTATTTGTGGAAGTCAGCAAATGGATTTTCATTCCTGGCAAGAAAGAGGTACTTTTTACCCTAAATAATGTGATTAGGTAAGGTAGGCAAGTACCTCATTGATTCTTATTGATTGTAAATTTTAATAAAAGATAATATTATGGTGCCAGTGCCACTCTAATACGCAGGAATACCTCGTGGCCCCATGGATTTTCCATAAGGTTATGTGGAAGTGATCCTGAGGACAGGATGGTTATAAGGTCTTAAGCTTTCTCAGTAGTGGGTTTAGCTTACTTTGCATTCACAGACAGTTCCTTTTCATGCTATTCCACAATCTTGTTAGCAAATACCTCTGTTATTAACTGACTGATATGGCAATATTTTTTCAGCCTGTGACATA